AATGATGTCAAGACTGGTTTTACAAATGCAATATATATTGTTGTCTGTTGGAAATCTTTCATTGGTCAAGAATAGCATGCTAATTGTTACAATCTGGTTCTCACAGGTCATCTAAAAATTTGTTAAGATAATTAAATGGGGACCCGTAGGCTGAGGGAAACTGCTGAACAGGACTCCCCTTGGTGAATAAAGGAGTAGCTGCCTGGAAATATCATTTGTTCCAGCCTTTGTTCACAAAGGGATCCCCAGTAATTTTTGTAGCCTCATGGGAGACTCACCTCAATAAATACTGCTAAACATATTGCAATGCTAATGTCACTAATCTTCTCTTCTGGGTTTTCAACAACCAAAGTTTGGAGACCAGAACTAGAAAAGTAGCTGGGCCAAGAAGACAGCCAATATTTAGGCTCTGGCCCTTTAAGGTCAATGAGGACCCAGGACCTGAGGGAACCTTTTCTACAGGATCCTACATCTTTGGTGAGTCACCCAACCTCCCGAGCAGGGAATCTTCTGGACCCCAGAGGACAAAAATCAACAAACATACAGTGTGCCAAAGGAGGGCCACCAAGGGGAAAAGTGTCCCACGCTTTCACCCAAAGCAACATGGTCAAGCAAGGCCATGACCCACCCTGACGGCTGACCCTGACAGAGGAGCTGAGAGGCTCTGTACATGGTTCCAGAGTAACGCCTGAGGAGACTTCACTGACCTTGACAGACAGCAAGAGGGTAATTTTAATTAATACAGGTTGCACTTTAACTTGGTCTTAAACACACAGCAGAAAAGAACAACGAAGATGTATAAAAACAATGCTATAGTAATAAAGCTAGATATAAAAAGGGGCTCCAATTATGACCCCTTCTGGCACCAGAAGCTGACCACTCCTATGGGTCATTAGAAGAAATGGTAGACTCTATAAGAGGTCAACAAGAGTTTTTAAATTTCTTAGCTAATATTGTCCTCCAAAACCACCAAACTCTCTATCTTCTTACACTTAAAACTAGAGAGACTTATGACAAAATATCAGACTTAGAAATAACCTCCATCAGCAGAGGGGTCTGACAGCCAGCGGGTTACAATGGCTACTCCAGTCCCTTAAGAACAGTTTCTAAATGCGGCTCTTTCCCCAACCTGCCTTTCCATTCTGGTGCTCATGTTTAGACTGCACATGCTCTAATTTCTTGAAAATTTTCGTTTATTCTTGCTTAGAAGCTGCCAAACTCCAAGTGATCATGCAGATGGAACCAACAGCACATGTGCCAGACTCCCTTCACCGGGATCCACTGGACTGACCTTGCAAAGAAAGTCCATAACTGCTAGCCGAGGCCCATTAGGTCCGCTCTCTGGAGAGGGCCCCTGCCTGTGTTCTCCCCCACATTGACCCTTCTCGGCTCCAAGCAGTTAGAACTGTGCCCCTTCCCCTTCTCCCCTAACTGCCGATAGGGGTACTTCTTCACAGAGGGGAATCCTGTAAACAGCTAAGGGAATCAGAAATCACTACAGGCTGTTAGGCAGGCCCAGGCCCTCAGCACATAAGACAACTGTGTCTGAGGTTCATTCACTGAAGGTCTGGCTTCAAGAGAGAGGAACAAGCTTCCCCACATGCTTCCCCTTGGGAGGAAAGCAGTGATTGATATTCTAAATACATCAGACACCTTGGGGGTGGAGGGCAAAACCTCCCTAGCACGTTCCTTCCGGGAAATCCTTGTTCCTTCCATGCACACTTGCTACATGATTTGCTTCCCCATTTGATCCCCATTTAATCAATATTGCCTAAGTAGCTACACTTGCTGCAATCATATTGGCTGACCATAGGGTTAGCAAGTGTTCTGCCAAGAGCCACACCCCAGTGCCACCTCCATTTCTCTTTCCAAAGGGAGCAACTTCCTCGGGAGAGGAAGAAGCACTGAAGAGGGGCAGCAGGAGCAATCACAGAGCATGTTGCTCATCTCAGGATCTGCATAATGAAAGTTTCAAGGTTCTAGATTAAAGTGGTGACCAGTAATCCATTAATTACCTTCGATTTTTTTTTTTTTTTTTGGTACCAGGGATCGAACTCAGGTCATTGCGCTTGCGCAGCAGGCGGCGAAACCACTGAGCTAAATCCCCGGTCCTCCCTTAGATTTCTTATGAGCCACATGCTACTGACCAGGGAAGGGAGGGCAGTGGATCAGGGTTTTCTTTACTTAAGCAATGTTCCTTGCTCCTGGAGCTCAGAATCCCAGCTTGGCGAGGTGATTTGCATCTGAATTCCTACCTCTCTGGGAGGTTGAGGCAGGGGCTTTGCAAGTTTGAGACCAGCCTGGGCAATATAGCAACTTAGCCAGTCCTTGTGTGAAATAAAAAAAAGAGTAATATAGAGGCCAGGGATGTAGCTCCATATGAAGGCCTTGGGTTCAATTCCCAGTACTGAAAAAAAAACCCTCAGAACTTAAAAAATATAGTTTAAAAATTTTAGTAGTTATGTTGCCAGAAGGAAGGCGTCTACATTTTTAATTTGAAGTTGAGCAAACATCCCAAAGCTTGTGTGAGGGAGGCTGCATCCTTAGGTGAAGGGAAGTCTCTTAGAATTACCTGGAACTATTTAAGTTACACACGACCCCCAACCCTACCTATCACAGGGACCTGGGGCACACATGGAGTACTCACTGTGCCATCCCAATACTGGCCACGAGGGGGCGCGCTGCAGGACGCCTGCTCTGGACCTCTCACCCTTTCCTTGCTCTTCCCTCGAAATGAGGACATGTATTTTTATCTATTTTTTATGTATTTATTTATATTTATGTATGTATTTATTTATGTGGTACCGGGGATCGGACTCAGGAGCTTGAGCTAGCCAGGCAGGTGCTCTGTGCCATGGAGCTAAACTCCAACCCTACTTATTTTTTTCAGACAAGGTCTGGCTATGTAGTCCAGGCTGGCCTCAAACTCTTGGTGATCCTCCTGTCTCAGCCTCTGGAGTGCTGGGATCACAGGCGTGCACCACCATGCCCAGGCTGGACATATGTCTTTAAAAGTGCTGTCATGGTAACATGAAAAGGAAATAAGGAAGCGGCTTACAACAAAATGATGTGTATTTCCGTAGGCAAAACCAAGCACAAAGATACGAGGAAGTGCATAACGAAGTACTCGCATCCGCCTGCAGCGGGGCAGGCACAGGTGTGCTGGGTCAGTGACTCCTAGGTCTTGGGCCACACGGGCTCACAGATTAAAGATGTGCTGAAAATCTCCAACTATGCCAGGCACAGTGGCACATGCCGGTAGCCCCAGCTATTCGGGAGGCTGAGGCAGGAAGATCACCTGAGCCTGTGAGCGTAGATGCCAGACCTGGGTACATAGCAAGATTTTGTTTTAAAGAAAAGAAAAAAATGTTTTCCTCGAGGCCACGGAGAGCCTCGGGCTCTGGCAGCCTTCCGGGTCCCAGGCCCTCGAAGACAGCCCTGCGGCAGAATGGGAAATCGGAACTGGAGCATGTAATGTTTCTTTACCAGTACCTGGGATCAAACCCAGGACTTTTGCCCTGAGCTACATCCGCAGCCCGTTTTGAGACAGGATCTCGCTAAATTGCCCAGGTTGGGCTCGAACTTGCAATCTTCCTGCCTCGGTTTCCACTATCACCTTTGACTGCAAGGCAACAGAAGGGCAAAAAGGTACCAGAGGGAGCGCCCTTCGGGGACGCTGCACCCTCAGAGCCGCTCCTGGAAGGAGCCGGGCCCGGGGCGAAGCGGCCTGAGGCGAGAGGTGCGGCAGCGCTTCCCCTTCCTCGGCCTCTCTGGTCTCCTGCCAGCGCCTCCTCAGGGCCGAAGCCGAGCAGCAGGGCCTGAAGCCTGGAACTCACTCACATCTGACTTTACACACTTGTCTTGCACAAACAGGCTGGGGCTGGCCCTTCCCGGCTCAGGTCCCCGCCCGCGGCCGCCTCATGCGCGCTGTCGCCCCCAAGGGCCCGGTAACGACCACGCCCAGCCCGGGCCAGGGCTCTGCGGGGCTTCGCAGCCCACAGTAGGGCGCGGGGCTCAGGGAAGGGACCCGGGACCGGGTGCGGATCGCCAAGTCCAACCCACTCGCCCTGGCCCAGCGCAGCTCCTCCCAGCTCCCGGCCGCCGGACAGCGCACGCTCGCAGTCGGGGACCGGCGGGCAGCGGCCGCCGGCGAGGGTCCCCGCGGCACCTACGGGGTCCGCTGAGCTCCGGACCTCGTTCTCCGCGGGGTGGGTCCCCCACTTCACCGCCCGGCACCCCCAGGGCCGCCAGGCTGGCTGGGGCCAGGCCGGCTAGCACACGTGCGCACAGCCGCCCCGCCCCGCGGACAGGCCCCGCCCAGGTCCCGGCCCCCGGGATCAGGCCCCGCCCCAGAAACCTAGGCCCCCGTCCCTGGGAGCCCAGAAATCGCCCCCGGGGAACCAGGTCCGTCCCCTAAATTTAGCCGCACCCCAGGAACCAGACACAGACCCTGGAGCCCAGAAGCCCAACCCCGAGCTCAAATCCCAAGGTCCCGTCCCCGGACACCATGTTCCACTGCGGGGAAAGGGGGCGAGGAAAGACCCCGCCCCCGGGAGCGAAATCCCGCCCCTAGGTCAGACCACGCCCATTGAAACCCTCGGGAGCCAGACCTCCCTCTAAAAGCCATGCTCTGCCGCTGGGAGCCCAGACCCCGCCCCTGGAGCCTAGGCCTTGCCCCATCCCTCAGGCGCCAGTGGGCGGGAGGCGGGGCGAGCGCGCCGGGAGGCGGGCGCGCGCGTGCAGGTCGTCCCCGCGGGAGGGCGCAGGGCACGGTGGGCACTGCGCCGGGATCGGGAGCCGGGCGCGCGCCGCAGCTCCACCGAGCCGTGTGCGATCCGCCGCGCGGCTGTGCCCGAGACGCCGGCGCCGGTGACCTCAGCCTGGGGAGCGCGGCGGCGCGGCGAGCCGGGAGCCTCGGCGGGGCGGGGCCGGCGCTCGGGGAGGCTGCACGCGCCCGCCACCCTCCGCGCGCACAGCCGCCCGCCACCGCGGCCCGGGCCATGGAGACGCTGAGCGGCCCCGCGGGCGGCGCCCCGGACGCCAAGCCGCAGCCGCCCGGCGCCCGCCACCCGCTCCTCCTGCGCCCGCCGGCCGAGCGCAGGCGGCTGCACCGCGAGCCCTCGCCCGCCCGCCCCGCAACCTGGGCCCCGGGCCCCGCGCCCGCCGCTTTGCGCGCCCCGGTTCTCGCGGGCCGCCCGCCGTCGTCCTCGGGGCCCCCTGCCCAGCCCGGCAGCCTTTCCCGGCGCAGCACCGGCGTCCCGGGCGCGAAGGACAAGCCGCCGCCGGGCTTCGGGACCAGGACTGCGAGCGGCGCCAAGGCCGCCCTGGGAGCCCGCAAGGCGGCGCGCGCGGTGCCCAACGAGCCGCTGCCCCGCGCCGCGAAGCCGCCGGGGCCCGTGCCGCCCGGAGCCGCCGCCAAGGCCCACAGGGCTAAACGCGAACCCGGGGCGGCCCCCTCCCGCGCCCTTGCCTCCCCGAGCCCCACCGCCCGCGCCCCCAACGCGCGCCTCGCCGGGGCCCCGGGTGCGCGCGCGGGCCACACAGACAGCAGCTCTGATCTCTCCGACTGCGCCTCTGAGCCGCCCGCCGCCGGCAGCGACGCCGAGTCCGGCACCGGCTCCAGCGACCGCGAGCCCGCGCGGGGGGCGCCGCCCGGCAGCCCCGAGACCCTCGCGCTCCTCGCCGCGCCCGCCGCCGGCCTCGGGGGCCGCAGCAGCCCTGGCGGGGTCCCCCCAGGGTCTCCGGGGCGCGGCGCGGTGGACGATGGCGAGGGGCGCGTGCCGCCCGAGCGAGCGGTCCCGGGGACCCCACAGGAGTCCGGCCCGGGCCTGCAGCCGCGGCTCGGGCCGAGCTTGGAGGAGGAGGAGCTGCTTCGGGAGATGGAGGAGCTGCGCTCAGAGAACGACTACCTCAAGGTGAGCGGGCGCGGGGTGCGGGGTCCCAGGGTCCCCACCCCCCTGCCCCGTGTCCGCTAGGTCTTGGCAACTTGAGCTGAAACTTCGGCAGGGCGCAGCCAGACCTGCGTGGTCCTCACTTAGCTCTTGTTCTCCCAAGTCTTGTGGTGTTGGCTGATGCGTTTTTCCCTTTGTCGGGAGTCTGGGGACAGGTGGCTCTAATCGTTTTGGATACATCAGTGGACCCTCGCCTATACATCACCTGTTGGAAAAGGTTGCCCCTAGCTTCCCAGCTCTGGCCTGGCGCGTGCACGTGCGTGTTAGCTGGGCCAGTGCGGTGGCCCAGGCTGCAGACTGGCCTGTCGCCCTTCCTGCAGAAACCGCCGGGGGCCCTGGTATCTCCCCTGACCTCGCAGCACAGTCAGAGAGGGCCTGGCCGTTTTGGATTCAGTAAGGTCCCTGAGCATGGTCTGGGGTCAGGACAGCGGGGTCTCCCTGGCGAACCCTGGGTGGGCGCGCCGAGGCCGGCGGGCGTGGGTCCGGAGCGGCCAGGACCGCTCTTTGTGAGGAATCGCAGCCTCCGCCGCCCCTCTCAGCCTTCTCGGGCGGCCTACTGGCGGGGCCTCTTAGGGTGGCCAGCAAGGGTTAATCGGCCGGCCTTTCTCCGTGGAGGAGGGCCGGGCCCCAGCGCAGAGCCTTCGGACTAGGACTAGGGTCGGGTCAGGACAGTTGATGAGCGGAGAGATTGAGGGCCGCAGGAGAGCAGGTGCTTATTACAGTCCTCAGGTTAGTAGGAGCACGGGCACAGATCCTTCTCCTCCTACCTGTTAAGACCTCAGCCGGCGCCTGCGTTACCAGGGGTTATGAGCTTCCAGCTGTTTCTCACCATGTGATGGACCTACCCCACTGGGGCCTGCTTTTTGACAGATGAGCTGGGGATTGGGCTTTTAAGGGAATGGTGGGACAGTGCTGTTCTGGGTTCTGCTAAACCCAGCTCTCTTACCCAGAGCTCCTCTCACCAGCGGAGCCCAGTTCTGCCGTTGGCTCGAACTAGGCAGGGAGAGAGGGAGAAGAGGGCGGAGCAGACCCGGACTCGGTGGACATGCTTCAGACAACACCTTGGTTTGCCTTTGTCCCTCACGCGTACATAATCCACAGCAGAGTGACATGCAGAGGTGCTGAAGAGAAAGAAGAGCAGCCGGGTTATCGTGTCTGTCTCCTGTCACTTTGCAAATCCCTAAGGAGTAAGCTCCCTGAGGGTGAGAAATAGTGTAAGCTTTGTAGTCCCGCTGTATGTGTGTCCCAATTAGGAAGGGCGAGCAACAAGAAACTGAGTTTCTTTAAAGAAAAGATGTTTCTCTTCCATCTTTGGTCTTAGGCAGTCTGACATCATTTCCAAGTATTCTCGGGTGAGGTAGCTGACGTATCAGGCTTCTCCGAAACAGCACAGAGTATTTTCTCTGTGTGACGCAGCACTGGGGCTGGAGCCCAGGGCTCCCCCGAGTTAGTGCTGTTCCCACTCAGCTCCACCCCAGGCTCTGTTGTTACATTTATTACAAGGATGCTGAGAACTTCAGGGACTTGGCCAAGGTCAGCCTGCCACCAAGTGTTTGTGCTGCCTCTGTGGCTCCCAGCCTTTGGACTTTGCTATGCTGCCCCTCATTTCCAGCAAGGGTGGGTTTTCAGCCTATGCTGCAGAGGTGTTTTTTAGCTTGGTGTGGTCCCTGTGTTGAGCTTTGCGGGGGTCCCTCTCCACTTGCCAGTGTTCCAAGGGCCCTGCACTCCCCACTGGCTCACGGTTTAATTTGCAGGGGATGGGTTCCATTGCCACTGCCCGGGGAGAAGGTGCCATGCTGTCTGTTACCGAGCTGGAGCCCTAGCCTGGCTTTTCGTCTGACAGCTGGAGTGCAAAGTGGGCAGAGCTAGTCCAAAGGAGACTCGGGAACCCGAGGAGTGCGCATGTATGTGTGTGATGCACATGCTTGGTCTTTCAAAAGCCTAAGTTACAGTAGTGCATTTTGGGAGAGAAATACAGGAATCTTCGTGGGCTTCTACAGGCTGAGCTGTCTCCTTGTCAAAATTGGGCTCCCGGCACCGGTACCCTCAGGGAGTAGAGTCCTGCCTTTCTTTTTGCAGGGCGCTCAGGGTATGCACACTATACACCTACACTTCTCTTCCTGTTGGTGGTGTTGCGTGGGGCACTTTTTCAGGTGGAGATAAAAGTGCATCCTTGACCTACTACTTTCTTGGGGAATGCTGTGCAGCATCTGAGATTAGATATAGCATCCATCTGTTCAGATGTTATCTAACCACAAGAAGCCGGCCTGGAAGTTTTGCTCGGATGTATTCTGGAAGTTTGCACATTCTTTCAGGGCCACTGAGGTCATCACTGTGGTGCAAGACTCATGGTTCTGGAGTGTGATGGGACAGAGAAATTCAGGCCAGCATATCCCTGGAGGTTGTCTTATAGATTGGGAAGTCGATGTGGCATGCTCTGTGTTTTAGCATGGCTTCTGCTGTGCTGGATGGAGAGTGGGCTGCCCTGCCCCTAATTCCTGCCCCCTCACTACAGGGCACTGGGTGTAAAGGCCACAAAGCCTCCGCCCTGGTGGCTTTTGCATGAACACAGAGAGAACTCAGAACTGAAGGCAAGCAGCTGAGTTCAGTTGTCCCAAGGCAGGGACCCACTTGCATCAGGCGCTGGCCAGCCTCCTGCCCACTGGGCTGCCAAACTGTTCTGCTCAAGTGCCCAAGACAGTCAGACAAGCCTCTGCACGCGGCCTCAGCATGTTAGCTATGTCTTCTGTTTCCATGGCTTCTCGGGAGGGTGCGCTCCCTGAGTTCACAGCCTGTCTGGGGAGTGCTGTCCAGCCTAAGTCCCAGTCCATTCGGTCACACCCCAGACAGTGGCCCCTGTCCTGCGGGTGGGCCATGGTTGGGTGGGAGCGCGTTTCTCTTCGCTCCACTTCCTCAGCTATTTCAGAATCATTATTTGGGGTTAAAAGAAAACAAGTTGCCCTAGCTTTAAAGGCAGATGACTTTGGTTTCTGGGGCGATGGATTCCTAAGGATCACTGAGGTTTGGGGGCAGTTAGTGCTGGGGGTGGAACCCAGGGCCCTGCATGCCGAGCACACAGACCAGCCAGCCTGGGGTTGGGTTTGGAGGTCGCAGGCCCCTTCCTCCCAGCCCAGCCTCGCCGGGCTTCGCCTCACTTGGAGTAGTTTCCTGGGTTTTAGGCTCTGACGAGGTTTGTGCCATTCAGCTGCCCGGAAGGGACAGACTCTCAGAGGGCACTGGAGCGTTTCCTCTGCCCCTCCTTCCTTCTTCCCCCTTCCCCTTCCCTAGGGAGGCTCAGTGAGCAGTATTCCCTGCCCCTTCCTGCTCCGCTTTCTGTAGCCCGGGAAGGCCCAGCTGGGACCATCGTAGTGGCAAGATGGTGCAGACCAGGCCCAGCAGCCCGCAGCTGCTGGCTGCACTGTCACTTGGTAAGCAGTGGTCGCAGTCCTGCACGGCGCGTCCTTAACTGCAGAGCGTTTCCATCGTCCCAGTGGAAATGGGGCGGATTATTCACACAGCACGAAGATAGTCGCTCTGTCTGCAACCCCCAGAAGATGGACTCATGGCGGCAGCAGCCAGGGGCCAGCCCCTGCTGCCCAAGTAGGGCTATGTGAGGAGGAGCCATTAAAACAGTAGTTACTGATTTGGGGTTGTTTGTAAGAGATTAAGGTCTGAATATAATTGTCAGTACCATCGAGAGTTTTTGTCACTTTCATTAAGAAATCATGGGTTTGGTGTTCATTTTATATTTATGTATAACTATGTTTTAGAGTTTTTTAATTGAAACATTTAATTTTTACCTTGGTTTATTCAGTTGCACACAGGGCACAGTACCTTGTTATTCCTCCACTGGCCTATGCTGTGGTGCACGCCTGTAATCCCAGCACTTGGGAGGCTGAGGCAGGAGGATAAATGCAAATTTGAGGCCAGCCAGGGCTCCATAGTGAATTCAAGGCCAGTCTTAACTACATGGTGAGACCCTGTCTCAAAGCAAAAACTCAAACAAAAACAAAAAACCCCAAATACATATGTATATATGCAGTATATATTTATATATAAGTATATAAATAAAACAATTAAAATGTATATAAGTATACATAATACATAATATAATATCTATAATGTAGCTTGCTTTATTTTCTGTAGACAGAAGGGAACAGTTGGAGAGTTTCATAATACTTCAAAAATCCATTTTCTGTAAAATATTTGAAAAATACAATGAAAACTAGTTTTTTAATAAGGTAATGAATGGCCTAGATTTAAATATCTGGCAGATCGGGTGTTAATTCAATATAAAACTGTTGGTTAAGGGGTTTTTTCTTTACTAATTTTCGTGTGTAGAAAGACATCAGCAATTTCCCACTTTTCTTTACTGTTTCTGCCTTGCGTCTGCCAGCAGCATTGTGTGTTCTGCCTGACTTGATTATCTGACAGAGGCAGGCTTCTCCAAGGCTCTGGAGAGCGTGTCCTTGGGAGATCAGTGTAGTGCTCGCTTGAAAATCACCATCCGCCATCACCCCGGTCTGAATATCACAGTTTTCACTGGTTTTCCAGTGGGTGCTGCCACCTTCACACGGTTCCTCATTTGCTTCTCTTGTAACTTCCTTTGACAGAGCCTGAGAATTGCTTTTTCCAGATGCTGTGGAGTTGAGACACTGGCTTCAGGCCCGTGTGCCACAGCCGCGTGCTCGGAGGACCCCTGAGCGTCCCCTTCCCCCGCAAGGAGCTTCTCACCGCCCCTGCGGGCCTGAGCTGGGGCCCGTGTGTGCGCGCGTTGACAGGTGTCAGGCCGCAAACGCGGGGCTGGCTTTTAAAGGCACAGCGGAGGCCTGTTTTCTCCGTGCCCATGGCAGTGAATTCTTGGTTCTCACTGGAGAGCAACGGCGCGCACCTGGGAGGGAGCAGGTGCGTGCGTGGCTTCCATTCACTGTCTGAGGCTGGGCCACGTGAACCCGCCTCCCGTTGCATCGCTGTCTCTCACATGTGGCCTGTGTGTTATTGCAGGCTTAGTAGTGGGACAAAGTGCTTCCTAAAAGACGTCTTCTGTTCTAACATTTTAGATAAAGTATGAGTTATGAAAGTGATTCAGATGCTTACAATTATGGTCGCTCCCTAAGTATCTTTTTGGGCAACCAATATTGCTGGGGTTTTTTTGTACTGGGGATTGAACTAAAGACCTTGTACTTTGGAGGCTGTTGGTGGTTATTTGTCCTCCAGAATATCAGCTGTTTAAGTCCAGCCTGCTTGGCAGTGGAGGGGGCGGGTACAGCCCCTGAGCAGGTGTTTCTCAGCCTGTTCACACATCAGCATCTGTATCCTCGTTGATCATCGGGTCTCCCTGCTGCAAAGCCTGAAAACTAGAGAACATCTTTGTACCTGAGAGCTCTATTTTGCATCTTCTATGGCTAAATCACATTTTAAGTTTTGTTTGAGTGATAGGTAATTTTAGGCATTAATGACTTGGCTTTTATAGACACTTCTAGAAAGGAAGAGCAGTCAAACGATTCCTTCTGCAATCGGAAGAGCCAGCATCACTGCGTTCATTTGTTTCCCTGGACTCAGCGATGTACCTGCAGTGATTATTGCTCAGAGGAAATGATTTTTTATTAGCTGCTCAGTGAAAGTTACCTTCTGATCGTGCACGGAAACAAGCACTGCAGTTAGGCTTCGTCAGATTCATGCATGGGACAGGAGAGAAACTAGATCCAGGTTTTTGGAGATTCGGCCCATCCTAAAGCATGGCCCCACCCTGGGCCCTGTGACACCACCCCCTGGCCAAGGGGTGGCGAGCACGTTCCTGGGTGAGCCGAGTCCCCTGCCCTCCAGAGCCCAGCCTGCTGCTCTGTCCCTGTGTGTCCAGCTGGCCAGTTGTGGGCTGTCACCGGCCACTGCCAGTCCCAGCAGATTTTCCTGTCTGGAAGAAGATGTACAGGGAGAGATGTCCAGGAGGGAAGTGAGAGATGAAATTTGGCGATACTTCATAGCACTGCCACTGTTGGTTTATATTAGCGCACGTGAGAACAGATTAGATTTTTAATGAGCTTTTCCCCATCGGCCTGGAAGTTCCGTGAGAACACTTAGAAGCTGAGGAGAAAGCGTTTGTTCATTTGACCACCAGGGAGTTGTGAGGCTTTCTGCTTTAACCTGTGTTCTCCCTGGGCCACTGCAGCACCTCCAGTGGGGTCAGCCAGGAGCAGGGTCTGCTCCTGATGGCCGGGGTGTGGCGAGCGGGCAGCCTGGAGAGGCATCTGCCCCCCGCCCCATGCCATCATGTTTCCCCACAGATTGTTTACTTCCCTCCATCTTACTCAGGACGAACTCCTATCAGATTGCTTGGTGCCCTGCCTGCTTGGGCCTCTGAGGTTGGGAAGCTCTTGCTCTTTGGTTCTCAGAAGCAGTCCAGGGCAGGTGACAGCAGTGTGACCGGCGAGCAGGCTGGGCAGCAGCGCAGGAGCTGACAAGTCAGGCCCCGTTCGGAGCGAGTTTCCCCTGATCCTCACCATTGATTGAACAAGAGCAATAGGAACAGCCAAGGCTGTCCTATTCCGGAGGCCTTTGAAGAAATCCAGACAGTTTCTAGAATGTTTTCACTAATCTTCCTTCCACATTCCTCCTCACTGAAATCTTCTGTGATGCCCAGGGGCATTGTGACTGTGAACTGCAGCTGCACCTCTGGATGTGTGAGTTTTCATACTTAGGGGGCTAGGCTGGATGAAGCCATGGTTCAGTGAGGTCCAGTGAGGTCCGGCGAGGTCTGGCGAGGTCCATCTTGGTCGTCTCTCTGCTTTCTCAGGACCTTGCGCTTATGAGGCAGGTACGGTGCCACTGAGCTAAATCCCAAGCCCGATCTGCTTTGGTCCTGCATGAGGCAGCTTATGTGCCTGGTGCAAGAGGCAACCAGGCCTGGCTTGACTCCTGAAAGTGTGTGACAAACAGTGCACTGGGGAAAACACACCGACAGCAGTAGCTGATGAGAGAGGTAGGAAGAAGGTTGAGCAAGGCAGGGACTAAACACGGGGGGCAGATGGTAAAGAGGGTGGCGGGTGACAGGGTGACAGGGGTGGGCATTGCCTACTGACTTCCAGCTTCGCTGCGGAGCACTCCCGGCACAGGGGCTGGCGGCGGTGTCCTGAGCATCCTGGGTTCATGAGGCCCCAAGTGCCAGGAGGACAGAGAGGAAGTCCTGGCTGGCGGGGTCCGATTTGCACATCAAAGGCTGACCCTGCAGGTGCAGGACTGACTGGGAGGATTAGGGGCTGGAGATGGAGGCTTAGATCCTGCGCTGGGGCTCCGGGGTGACGGTGACAGACGGGAAGGGGAGGGGGAAGCAGAGGGCGGCAGCTGGGGTGCTTCTCCTCAGAAGTCAAGGTTACAACTGGTTGGTTTAGATTTAATTGGCTTTATTTCCAGTTCTACAACTGGGCAGTGCTTCATTCCATGCAGTCAAGAGCGTACCTGTGGGCTGCCCACGGAGGCTGCTTTTACGGACGGAGGAGGAGGGCTGAGGACAGAACAGAGAATGAAGCCTGGCTGTGGTTTCAAAGTTACTTTCCTGAAAGGCGGTCGGGGAGGTGGAGGAGAGAACTGATGAGTTAACTCGGGGTTACTTCAGGTGCCCCCAGGGTTTGTAGCAGGGGGACCTTCACTACCAAGGTATCCAGGCTGGTCTCTTGAGGGAGTTTTTTTTATTTTTTTTTTTCTTTTTGGTGCTGGGGATCAAACTCGGGACCTTGCGCTTTCGAGGCAGGCAGCGGAACCACTGAGCTAAATCCCCAGCCCTCGGGGAGTTCTGCCATTACCTCTCTCTGACTTCCTCCAAGGTCAGACAACAATGCAGTTTTGGTTGGTGTTGGGACCATTAGCCTGAGCCTCTCCATTTTGAGTTTTAGTCTGGTCTGTAGGGGCCCAGTGCAGAACCCAGTCCCAAATGATGGCGTGTGTCTGTAATTTTCTTCAGTGTCTGCATGTTGAGGAGAAAGAGGAACTGATGTTGGAAATAAGGATGAGTGAGTGGAAAAAACCCAGTGTGTATCTGAATGGAAAAATTAGCTAGTATCACTTAGGCATTGCTGAGATTTGTATTGTGGAGTGGAATTTCAGAGACATTTGCAGGTGTGCTGTAATCTCAGTGCAATTACCAGTTATTCCCCACCAAAGTTTACATCCTTTCGAGGCAGCATATGTCTGATTCATCTCAGCCCTTCCACTGTGCCTTGGAGATGGAGGTTCAGGTCAGTGTCAGGCTGGAATCCGAAGGTGTAATCATCTGAAGAGCAGGTTCTGTTTATGATCGTGTGTGGAGACACTGGGAGGAGGAGAAGTTCTCTACGAGGCCACAGTCAACAATACAACCTGGTTTTCGTTCCTGGGCCTGTGAGATTTGAGCAGACATTTGCAGAGTGCGAGTGTCTCGAGGGGAACTCCTGTATGGGACAGCGTTTCTGGGAGCTGGTGGGGGGCACTGCTGCTGGGGACTGAGTGTTGGAAGGGCAGGTGTGTGGGCTATGGGCATGCGTGAGGGTCGCTGGCCTTGCTGGAACTTGGTTCGCTCATCCAAGCTGTCTGGTTCCATAGGATGAGCTGGATGAACTCCGTGCCGAGATGGAGGAGATGAGAGACAGCTATTTGGAGGAAGACGTGTACCAGCTGCAGGAACTTCGGCGAGAGCTGGACCGAGCTAACAAAAACTGCCGCATCCTGCAGTACCGACTCCGGAAGGCCGAGCAGAAGAGCCTGAAAGTAGCAGAGACCGGGCAGGTGGACGGCGAGCTTATCAGGAGTCTGGAGCAGGACCTGAAGGTAAGTGGGAGGAGGCTTCGAAGGAGGCCGGGGCTCCCAGTGAAACCTGACCCCAGGCCCCTTGCACGTCCAGTGCCTTTTTCTTCCTTTTTTCTCTTACAAAGTCTCTTTTCTCATTTGCTTATGGAAAGTCAAAATGTTTAACTGCTCGGAACATTCAAATCTCTGGCCACACTGGAGCGACAGTGGACAGACCTTGGCCCCGTGCGTGCTGGGCACTCGCTCTAGTGGGGACCACACCCTAGCCTCATGCATGGTTCGTGACCTGCTTTTCCTGCTTGCATTGTCCTCACGGGTTTCAGCAAGAACACCCTCAGCGTGCTTTACGCCATAGAGAGCGTATGCAGTTGTACGACTGACAGCCCAGGATTTAAATCTGCCCTAAACCACACTGAACTAAACCTTTAAAAAAATAAAACAGCGGAGAATTGATCTACAATAAAAAAGAATGAATTCCTGCTGGCTCGTCTGAGAGCTGTTAGGAATTGTACAGAGTCCTAAAGATCTGAATTGTGCTTTTGAAAATATGTTGAAGTTCAGTTCAGTGAAGGGCCATGCTCCTCACTTTGAACGGTTATTTAGGTTTCTAGGATGCAGAAAAGCTGAGATTCTCACACCCGAGCAAGACTTGCACGGTGGTAATTTAGCTGCAGAGGAGCAGGCTGGGAGCTGACGGCCCAGGTGTCCTGGAGAACTGCTGGTAGGGAAGGGAGCGAGGCGAAAAAACTCGGGACTTCACGTCTTTGCTTGCTGTAGAGGCGGCAAAGCTCCCTCCCGACCCAGTTATCAAATCATTTATCCAGCGATGAATTATGCATCCTGTCCTTATCACGGGAGCCCTTGTGGAATCGCTTCCAGCTTTCATCAGAGTGGCACAGAGTCATTGTAATTCTGTCAAAGCGATATTCGGTGTGATACAGTGAGATTTGTTTCTCTTGCAAAATTTCTTTCCCTGTGTACCTTTAGAAAGCACAAATGTTTATTTGCTTTGAACATTCCAACATTTTAACCACACTGAGCCATCAGTAGACAGCTTTAGACTCGAAGGCATTGAACGTCTGCGTGCAGAAGTATTTCCCGGGTTGTTTAGCAGGCAGCTTCGCTGTTACCTTAGGGAACAGAGATGCTGCATGTGAGCCGGGGTAGAACTGTCATTCTTGGTGACGTTCCGTGAGGAGATAGGGCTCTCCAAAATGGGCTTATACTACACAGTGAAGCTGTCTCCAAAAAAAAGCCAGGCCTGGTGGCACATGCCTGTAATCCCAGAACTCGGGGCTGAGGCAGGAGAACCACAGTTCCAGGCCAGCCTGAACTACAGAGTGAGACCCTATCTTAAGAAAATCAAAGCAGCCCTTTAATCCAGATGAAACTGCTGTTCTCTCTCCCTCTCAATGTTGATTTCGTGTTTTAAACTACAGATAGAGTCACCCCTGTGGGAATGCTTCGGATTGGAAGTGGTTTGGGTTTCAGAGCGTGTAAGAGGTTGGATTTTCAGATGAGAGGCGCAGGGCCTGAGATGCCCTCGTTTGCTCAGCGCAGGGCCAGGTCTCTGCGGCGTGCTCGGGTTGGCTCGTGCACACGCACGCGCGCGCGCGCACACGACACGCACATGCGCTTACTCGCATGCTCATGATCCATCCTGTGCGCTCCACACAGGTAGCCAAAGACGTGTCTGTGCGGCTGCACCATGAGCTAGAGACTGTGGAGGAGAAGCGGACTAGAGCTGAGGATGAGAACGAGACGCTGCGGCAGCAGGTGATCGAGGTGGAGATAGCCAGGCAGGCCCTGCAGAACGAGCTGGAAAGGCAGAAGGAGGTAAGGTTTGGGCGGACTGCGCCCCCTAGGTCCGCTGTCAGGAACTGGGGCACCGTGTGTCCGATGCTTGTGCTGGAAGAAAGCGCGGCTGAGAAATGACCCATGGTTTGTGTGTCTGGCCCGGGAGGGGAGGCCAGAATAGTTTTTATAAACAAACAAACGCACGCAAAACACCGCCCCCGCCCCAAGAAGACTAGGGAGCGAAGGCTATGTTCCTAAAACCCTTCCTGTCCAGGGCCGGGGATTTAGCTCTGTGGTGCTGACAACTTCCTCGCAAGTGCAAGGTCCCGAATTCGATCCCTGGTACCAAAAACCCCCACTTCCTATCTGCTCTCTACAGAAAGGCTGTCGAGGCCTGGCCTGAATCTGTTAGAGTTTCTAATCACATGAGCTGGCCTTTGATTTCTTCAGAGGGTCCAAATGGGTCTGTTATTACTAGAATACAGAATTAAGCAGTAATTTTTCCTGAATCTTCTCTTCCAGTGAGCTGGAAAGTGTATTTTCATTGTCCATTAAAGCTCTAATGTATGCTACCTATATCTGTTATTCGGCCAACATGATTTAAATATGGACAAATTTAAACTTTACAGAGTAATTATTCTAACAGAATCATTAAAAAAAGAATATATGTGTATTTTAATTTGCACACAGCACTGTAAGTCCTGATTTGTTGCTGACTTCCCTTATAAGATCAAAGAGAGCATTTTCTTGGGAAATCCCGAATGTCGATGACATTGAGTCCACAGAGAGGGCTTCAGGGTGCAGGATCGAGCTGGGTGTTATTTGCTGAGGGCCTCGTTGCAGTCTGCTTGGGGGGTACTTTGCCTGGTTTACACAGTCCTTCTCAGCCAGGCAGACTCCCGGGATCTCGGGCCCAGCCTGTCCTGCATCCGGGCTGTGGATGCAGGGACAGTGCAGGCCCCGTTTCCAGGTGTCCACGTGGCACACATGTAGCAGGACACGGACGCAGGTGCAGAGCCCTGGACAGGGGCAGTCTGCTTCCTGTCCTTGCTTTCACCTATCCCCCTTGTCACCAGTGCCCCTGGAGGTGAGCTCCCTCCCAGTCCGGGTGGGTTTGGTGTCTGGGTCGCTGTGATCCCAGTGCCTGGACTGATGCCTGCACCTACACAGGGCAAGGACTAAACTTCGGAGCCGCTGAGAACGTGGAGCTGTGGTGACCACAGCCTGCTGGGGTGCCTGTGGCTTCATGGGGGTCCCTTCACTTGCCCGTAGATTTGCCCTGCGGCCGGGATTTGTCCTCTAAGCTGTTGTGGCTCTTTCACCTCTGTGCTTAGAGTTCCTGGTGCTTTTAATCTCGCTTTTCTGTGCATCTAACTTCGGTTCACAAGGTCGTAACTGTTTCCCTTCTCACAAGTTCCAGTTTGAGCCTGACCTTGTGGGGATAGGAAACAATTTCAAAGAGTATTTTATAAATTTGATATACACATAAGCTTTTGTACACAGACGCGCGTGCGCATGCGCGCACACACACAGACACGCAGATATACATTCATCCCTCAGGACCCTCACAGGGCTGGTTTCCAGGTCCCTGGAGACACCTGACCTTACCCAGAGTGGCCTGATGTCTGCAGGTAACTGCCCATGTCCACCTGGGCCCCTGCAGTCACCTGCAGATGGCTTGTGCCTGGCCCAGGTGAATGCCATGTAAGTAGGTGCTGCGCTGCCTTGTTTGGAGACCAAGACAAGGAAAGCGGGCTGTACATGTCCAGAACAGACAGAACAGTTTGGGTTCTCGGATGGTTGAATCCACGCATAGGAAACGCATGGGTACCAAGGGCTGAGCGTGTCTGTTCTTCTGTAAGCAAGGACTCTTGCTTACACTGCAGTGGGCTTGTGTGGGACCTGGCATGGGCACTCGGAGGAAGAAGTCACGGCTGCTCTTGAGACTGAACGCAGGCCAGGGGAGGGAGGCTCCTCTGAGCCTGACGGACCTGGGTGGGTGAGGGCAGGAGATGCTTCCGTGGGGTCAGAGCCTCTCAGCCGTGGCTCCGTGGGATGGAGTTGGATGGGGCCTGCAGAGCTGCAGTCTGGGGGCCGCATGTACTTCCTGCTTCCTGAGACAAATCAGCGGCTTGACCATTCGCTGTGCCTTGCTTCCGTGTAGCTCCAAAGAGTGTGGTTCACTAAGTGACATCGTCTGGAAACACTTATTTTGTACTCCGTCTTGAAAGATACGGAGTTGGGCACAGGATTCTAACACTGAAGATAATATCGCATTGTATTTGGGATTGTTTTGCTATAGAGCAGTCTGCTGTCAATGTAATGCTCATTTTTGTTGGCAGTCTTATAACTTGGAAACAAACCAGATTGTTCCGCAGGGTGATAAGGAGACGAAAGAGCTAGGTGTGATTTCATAAATCATGTGGTTTATTGCAATGTAAGATTTTTTCTTTCCCTCTTGATTCACAGTAAAGGGGGGTAGAAGAGCGAGAACAAACTTCACAGGGAAGGTACTTGATGCACGGAAGTGAGTGCATTCCAAAATCATGAACGTCGGGTCGCTCAGTGGGACACTGGGGGTCTGGGGCAGGTGCAGCCGCCTCTCTTCTCTGGGGATTCGAGTCCGGGGCTTCTATCACCTGAGACCTACGGGTGTAGAAAATCTAAAATGGAAAGTTCCACAATGCAGAAGTTTTTAATAATTTCATGACCGCATATTGTTGTGATTGCCGCGTTATGATTGTTGTTAATCCCTTTTGTTGCCTGATTTCTAAGTGAAACCGTGCATTAGGTAGCGTGCTCAGGGAAGAATCCCAGTCGCGCCTCCCTGGAGGCACCATCGAGATGCGGCCTGGGCGGTCTGCTCTGCACTTGTCCTCGGAGCCTGACAGGCTCAGCTGGCTCCGATGTCCCCGGATGCTGCGGTCTCCCGGGCCCGCTGTCGTCTGTGTGGCTTGTGCTGTCGGTGGTCAGATGCACACAGCTTGTTCCCCCCAAACTAGATCTCCAGAGAGGAAGTGTCTCTGTGGATGTGGAGGAGACCCTGCTGGCCCCAGGGTGGCCCAGGGGACCCCTCCCCGGCTTCTGCCTGGAGGAAGGGAGTGGGGAGGACTCCAGGTCCATCCGGTGGGTCCTCAGTGGCCCGCAGTGCAGCCCATCCCCCACGCCCCCATTGAAAGCCACAGGGACTGGGTTTGAGAGCTGTCAGCTGCCGACCATGCGGGCCTGGAGGTGAGGCACCTCCTGCCGGCTGGCGGCCCTCCATCCCCGAGCGGTCACCTCTCGTCAGGTGTCCGAGCTCTGTGGGCAGCGGGTGACGGGACCGTAGGGTCTGGGAACTTGCAGTGTCGCTAGGTTGGGTGGCCGTGGGTGCGGAGCTGCAGATAGGAGGCCTGGCCCAGGACCGTGGTCTCCGGAAGACGGCGTAGGAGGAGTTGCACCGGAGGACCTGGCTGGGGTTGGAGGACGGCATGAGTGAGAGCCCCACACCTGTCCTGACGTGTTCTGTGTCTCCCTGTCCCACGCACTGTTACAGACACAGTTGCTGAGAGCGTTTGTGTTCAGGTTTTCAAGGGGACGCACGTTTTCATTTCCCTGGGACAAATGCGAGCACCACTCCTGCTGTGTAGTAGGTTGTGCACATTGAGGGTTTTGTTTTTGTTTTGTATTTTATGGTACAGTATTCAACCTAGCAGGGCCTTTGCATTGAGCTACATCCCCAGCCCTTAAAAAGAATTTTTTTTTTTTAATTTTGATACAGGCTCTTGCTAAGTTGCCCAGGCTGGGCTCACATCTGTGATCCTCCTGCCTCAGCCTCCCACAGTGCTGGGATGTAGGTGTGCACCACCGCTCCCGGCTGCACATTGGGTTTTTTTTTCTCCCAGAAAGTGCCAAGCTGCCTTGCAGAGCTGCTGCATCATTTCGCGGTGCTGTTCCCGCTTCTCGCATCCTCCCAGCCTGTGGTGTTGTCTGTGTTCAGTTCAGCCTTCCTACTAGCAGCTGCGTCTCAGTGAGGCCTGGATTTGCATCTCTCTAGTGGCTGCTGCTGCAGGACACCTTGCCATTCGCTGCTTGCCATCTGTGCCTCTGTTTCAGCGAAATATCTCTTTGTGTCTTTCGCCCGTTTCCTAACTGGGTTGCTTGTTTGTTTTACTTTTTTTTAGCTGTTAGGTTCTGAGAGCTCTTTATGTATTCTGCATACTAGGCCTTTGTTGGCTTTCGGCTCGCCAGTCCTCTCTCTCCCTTTGTAGCTTGTCTTTTCATTCTCTTCGGAGGGTCTTGCTGAGGGCCAGGCTTTTGCATTTTGACACTGTCTTTGTGGATATTTCCCTGTATTGTGTTGATCTTAATGGCTCTGTGCCTAGCCATAGACTCCAAAATTATGTTCCCTTTTTTCTAAAAGTTTTATAGTTTTACATTTTACACTGAAATCTGCAATCTATTTTGAGTTCATGTTTGTACAAGCGTGACACTTGGGTGAGGTTCTTGTTTTGTCTTTGCTGTGGATGTCCACTGTGGGTGTTGAGCTGGTCAGAAAGCAGGTGGGTGCCCGTGCAGGGTCTGCCCCGAGTCTCTGTGCCCTGGGCTCTGCAGAGCCACGGCCGAAATCACTTAGCTGCGTGCAAGGCTTGCAGGTGGTTTCCGGTTGTGCTGTCCGTGCGCCCAGTCAAGCGTCTACTTCTGACTCACTGCATCTTGGAACGCTCACGTATTTCTGTGCAATATGTGTGTGTATGTGTGTGTGCGTGTGTGTGTGTGTGTCTGTGTGTCCACACAGCCCTGCCCCAGGCGAGCACTCAGGAAATGCTCATTGAGTGAGAGAATGACTTATTTTATTTTCCCTTGAGAAAGCTACACATGCTATAAAAATCATGGTGAGGAATTCTGATTCTGTAAATGATTACCTGGGACAGTTCCTACAAACCAGTCATCGCACTCCAGGCCAAGTTTTTTGAAGCGACCGTGAGTCACAGAACCTGTATGTGGTTAGCGATAAGCAGAGCAGCTTCTGTTCGAGGCTTCCTGAGCATCCAGCCAGG